AAGGTTAATCCAAAGAAGCTGAATAAGGGATGCAGTTAAAGAAAATCCCCAGATAATGATGACTGAGGCGGCCATTCTTTTCTTGGACACTATTCTGTGGTAATGCATTGGGTGAATTATCATCACATAACGTTCAAACGTGACAATGACGAGGTGCAGAATCGTGGAAAAAGCGATAAATCGTGATGTAAGATCCATAGCTATGCAAGCCACCATGCTGTGTGCAATCGGCATAAGATTGCAAGCGAATATTAAAGGTATGGCAACAAGCCCTGACAGCAGATCGGACGAGGCGAGACAAGCTAAGTACAAGTTCGTGACTGTTTGCAATTGCTTGTTTTTGTAAACCAAAACAATAACTAAAGAATTTGCGGCAATAATAAAACTCGACAGAACACCAAGCAGCACAAGGGGAAGATGAAGGTCGCTCACTGTTTCTGCAGTACCATTAGCAGCTGCCTTTCTCGTTATGTTTAATATTTTGAAAGGGTCTGTCTCATTGATCTTCATGCTAACATTAAAAACTGTGTTATTCATCTTCGACTGAAGTCGATTGAGACTATGATATTCAGGAAAAAGTCCTTTAAAATAGCGTTGTCGCTCAAGATCCAACCAAAAAAAACAACTATCTGGACAAAACCAGCAGTATTAGATCTCGCGTGTTTGATACATTCCTGAAGAAGACCAGTAAGCCTGTGAGATATGAACAAACGCATTGTCAATTTGTATCACGATTACTACATTCAAAACACGGTAAAAGAGTAGAAAATTGAAAGTAATAAATTTATTATTTCATGTGTGGCAGTAGGGGAGTCAATTTCAATCATCCATAAAAAATGTGTTCTTTGTTTTGTATGACGTACAAAAAATGATAATGACAATAAAACACAATGAGATGTGTTTACCGAGATGATGATTGGAAAAAAGGTTAATGTCACAATAAGTATTTGATCAGGTAGTGGAATCCAGCCCTAAACACAAGATAAGTCTCCTGACAGCTCTGCATTCAAAGCTCTAACCTTCTATTTCATATACAACAGCAGGGGAGTTCAGGTGCGATCAATGTCAATCAGCGAAAACTAGGTTTTTTGTACTGCATGTCATATGGAATATGCTAAGCTGCGATGAGATGTGTTTACTGAGATAGCTGTTTGAAACCAAACCAAAATCGTGTCAGGTAGATTTGCCTGTTATGTCAGCTCTACAATCAAAGCTGGATCAAATAAATATTGAAAAGTTTAAACAAACACAAGCTATCAATAATTCGCCCGTTTGGGTTAGGAAATCGGCTTCTCCTCATTCAGATTCAATTGAGCAAACCGATGCTAATATCTGATTTAAAAGTTGCCTTCTTTTTGAACTTGGGGTTTTAAATGTAATATTTGTTTCAATGTTACGCTGTTAAAATGCGAACCTTGCAATTGGTATTAATATCTCTCTTGCCACAGAAAAAAGCAGAAACTGAAAGGAGCGTTTATCGAAAGGCATCCGTTTTCGGGGGGTGTCGAACCAGGCACACTGAATAGTGGACTTTCGTTCCATTCTAGCTCATTCTCTTTCTTTGTTAAAATTGATTTCTTTAGATCCCCTCATGGAGATATAATAAGAACATTTGGACACTTCAAAACAGCACGACACAAACACTCAGGTTCAAACCTTTTTCTGACGAAATTTTAAGTAAATGCATTACTTGTTCTTGACTGTTTTAAAGTGCGACATTCATTTTCCCTCTTTATTATTTCCTCTCTTAGTTTATTCGCACTATTTTGGGGTGTCTAAAAAGATGAAGTGGTCAGTGTATAATTTACATTATTAGCGGAAACGCCATAGTAATTAGGCATAAAACGTCGTAAAATGATTATTTTTTCCAGGCAGAAGATTTTGGCCTTAAATGTTATCAAATACAACGAGGATGTTTGTTTTAGAATTTCTCTTAAGGCACAAAAAAAATCTCGAAGTACTCTCCATATTATAAGGCCATAAAATAAGAAAAGTCTATCCTGTCGATTAAGACTTCCAAAGAGAACACGTAAACCCGGTTCCTAAAATTTTTCGTTTCGTTACCCTTTTTCCGAAAAATAGTTTGAGAAATCAACTAAAAATCACAAATTTAATTCCGTTTCATTTCGAACAGCTCCACTAATCTAAGGCCACACCTTAAAGGAAGTAAGTCATTTCCACGACCGTTTCGAACTGCTTTGATTCGACAACATGCATTTCCTTACCTCTACAGGTAGCTTAATAAGGTCCTTCCTCACTCGACAGACTAACTAGCAACAAAACAGCGTCCATGGTTTATAAAAAACTCTCCAGTGTTGCTCCTAATTGCCACGGCTTCGCTATTCACGTTTCACACAATTTTTACTAAAATGAAATGCCTCTGACACCTTTGAAAACATCCTAGAAGAACTTTTTCATTATATATGCAAGCCTTTTCAACAAGATTCCCCGTCGTTTTGCTTAATGTTCGTATGTCAATGCAGGCTGAATATTAAAAGTGCGTATGCTGTAAAGATTTGCTAGTTCAGCTGGCATCTATTCTAAGCTGCTTTTATTAGATTGTTATGAACTTGAACCTGAATAAAAGACTGAAACAATGATCTTCTTGCCAATCTTATTTTCTTCAAACAGCCGATATCAAAGAACATTGGTGACGTTTTCTAAATCTTTTTCATGCCCAAGAAAAAAGAATTTGAACAGCGAAATTGATGGCTGCTCGCAAAATTTATCTTAAATGAGTTTAGCGAAATGCTAACGTTAAGTAACACTTTAGAATTCCCTAAAACTGATTCCCAAACAAAAGGGAAAAAGAGCAGTAGTGAATATGTAAGTAAAAATTGAACCTGCTCCAACAGCCAGATACAACGGAGACCAATATGGAGCAAAACTCTATTATAGTGAAAACAATTATAGATTGGATAGAAAACTCGCACTTACCTCTTGTAGATCTTGTCTTGTGACCAATTGGAACAAAATAGCAAATTTCACTTTCTGCTTAATTATTTGTTCAGCTTCATACTGGACAGATAACTAAAATATTGCTTTTTTCACGGCTTTATCTGATTCCGATTCCACCTTCCAACCTTCGAATGTCAATTCATAGTTAAGCCGGCAAATTAAGTTTCCATGCTAAGTATAGACGTACAACCAGCTAGAATTACGACTTGAAGTTTTTTGAAAAGTAGACAGCGGATGCGAAAGTTATCAAACTATAGTGAGAAAAAAATTAATACGTTACCGATGTTAGAGTTGTCTCTAAAGCACATTTACATAGAATGTTTGTGATTGGACGAATACTTAAATGACGAATTATTTGAGCTTTTGATCTTGTGAATAAATTTGCCTTTAATTAGGTTCCACATATCATGTGTTGAAAGAAAATAATGATTCTGTTTTATTTACATTTATTATGTTTCTCCAATTCCATCCTTGGATCTCACTGAACTGCAAAAAATATGTTTAAATTTCCGAACGGTGTTGCGTAGTAAATTTGAAAGTGACTTTAACCGCTCGGAAAAAGCTTATACTGGCAAAAGAAGCAAATTCACCCAGTCCCACTGAAAAAAGAAGAAAAGACAAAGACAAAAGAAACCAGAAATTAAATAAGACGACGAACGCTAGCTTAACCTAATTAAAACGCGTTCATTGAAAACGATCACGTTTTAGAGCAAAAGCAAACCCTGCGAAAGAGTCTTAGCATGGAAACGATGATAAAAAAAAATCATTTTTCCTTTTATCCTTAAGTTAAGTAAAGGTGGAATACAAAAAGGGCAAAAGAACAAAACTCAGGTGGAGATGACACTAAATTTTCAAGCGTAAGATGTAATTAATGGCTTTTTATTCCCTGAGATTCGAACCCTACAGAGCCCTCTGAAAACAGCAGACCGAATGATGAAATTACCATGTAAATGAGCAACTTAAATAGAGACTCCACACGTGTAATGTCTAAAATAAATAAATTTGAGCTGCGTTGAAACTTTTTTGTATTAACGTTTAGGTAAACAAACTGATTGTTTTTGTGAAAGGGAAAGCTTAAATTTTATTACACTTCATGCCTTTCATAAATGCTTAAAAGGCCTTTTCGATCCAATTCATGTTATAGATAGCCAAGCTTAAAACAAAAAAAATGCGTGAACTGTGGTATGGACCTCCTTGCGTGAACGTTTTTGCTACATAATAGTATACAAAACGATTTTGCCTACCCAATAGCTTTCATGTGAAAGCCAGACTATTAATTTCAGTCGCATGATTTAAAAAAGAGGAGAAATAAGACGAAAAATTAACCGAATTTTTTTTCAATAAAATAACAAACATTTGCGTTTACTATATACTTTGCTTTCCGCTGTGGCCCTATTGCTTTCCACAGGGAATAGAACAGATGTTTTGAGTCCCTTATTTGACAACACTATTTACACGTATTGAAAAAAAAAAATGTTTTGAAATTGAAAGAATAAGGGGTCGGAACCAAACTCACGGTTAATTATATAACTTCATTAACATATAGATTTTAAACATTTCAGGATCCTATATGTAAGTCAATGTATACAATTGTTTGACATCTTTATTTGCATTTGAATTTCTTAGAGAAGACAAGACAATCAACTTGACAATGTTAAGTACTCTACGGAGCTCTCTATTTTAATGTGTCTAGTACCACTCAAATATTACTTAAAAAACAAGCTATTGGACAGCAACCTGTTACCTGTCAAAAAAATTAGACTTTCCTTGTGTGTGCCTTACGAAAAAATACGTAACTGACGGCTATACATGAGCAAACGAATGATGTTATAAAATTTCTGCTTCAGTACAGTACTGAAGAATGTTCGTCGGAGGAGAAATAAGAATATTCGTCTTTGGAATAGGGCAGCGTAGCCGGGCGGTTCGGAACGCTGGACTTGCAATTCGGAGGCCCCAATCGAGCTCAAGTCCCGCCCTGTTATGTTTGATTTCGATTATTTATTTCAGTCATTTGTTCGGCCCCGCTAGGATAAGTGCTATAAATTCTGCCGAGGGTAAATAAAGGAATTATATATTTATTTTATTTAGTCGACTGCAGCAGTCGTACACTGGTGAAGAGATGACCCCACATGAACGCAACACGCCAGTATAAACAGCAGCGTTATCAAGACCACAAAAGAACAGAGATTCAAGATGATTTTTGTTTTTTATTTATTATTGTTATTATAAATACATTTGTTTGCTTCTTTGTTTGTTTTATATGTGTTCTTGGGTTGAAGATGACATTTTTTGTCAATAAACCGTTTCTTTTTTTAACTTGCACATTCTTATATTCCTTTTTTATCTCAAATTCTATTTAAAATATTTATTACAATTCTAGATATTAAATAGTTTTTTGCTCTTTCTTTTATGTTAAATAAACGCTGAATAACGAACTTTATGTTTGACAAATTCATAAAGAAGATCTCCAGTATGCCCGGCCACCCTCTGTACCCTTCCGTCTACAAAACGAAAGAAAGTTCAGCGCGCCTCCGAGTTCCTAACAGTCAACTCCCCAGGGTTAATACCCAGCGTTTTAAAAATAGTTTTTTTTAATAAGCTATTTTTCAAATATAGATCAGAGTAGCTATTTAATGTAATGTGGATCTTGAATGTGAAATTCAATGCCGCTCCATGGAATTTTTTAAGCCTTGTAATTCTTTCTGCTGTTTTAATTTAAGTGTTCTTGGTTTTTGGCATGTATTTTTGCTTATAAATATTAAAATAAACCATACTATTAATATTACCGTAAACTGCCGCGTTATAAGCCCCTACACCTTCAAACCCCCCTCCCCGCCCGTTATAAACCAATCTACCATCTACCTGTAAACAAAAAAAAAATACATCCGATTAAATGCCTCCCTTTAGCTCGAATAGAAATGAGTTCGATTATGGCGTTTTGAAGCTTTCATAAAGACGCGAATTCTGAAGTTCAAAAGTCAACTGACTTTTGGGTTTTTCGCTGCCGTCAATCACCTTAGCGGAGCTCTTAGGACCAGAAGTTTACTTCAAGGGGCTTAAAAGATCATGGTTTGTGATTTGTGATTGGTGGATATCGATCCGTTTTGTGTGTTTCTGCGTTTCAAGGTTTGTCACTTCGTTGCTTGTGATCGTAATTATGACTGACCGCAGCGAAAAACGTAATTGTGAAGGCGGCTTTTGAACTTCAGAATTCGCGTGTTTTTGAAAAGCGCAGTAAATACCAATAAAAGCAAAACGTATTTGTATCAGCACTGCTATAGCTTATTTCGAAACGCTCCCTTTTTATTCCGGAAATAAGCCCCTCGGATATTAGATCCTCGTTTAAATAGCCCGCCTATAACCGCTTACGAATATGTAAAAGCTCAGGTCTTAAAAGCGACAGTTAATGGTATATTACTTCTCGATGTAGTAGCAGTAATAAAGCTTTACATCCTTCGCCACAAAAGATTCTGGTATCTTTCCAGAAACTAGATTCTTGTTTTCTTTGTCTTCACAGTCCCAGAAGACCCATTCCTCCGTAACGAGCATGCCCATAACTAACTGACAGCTACTCGAGTGTTTCAACAGAAAAAACGGTTCACGCATGGGCAGTTCGATAGGTTTATCCGCTGACCCATCTGACCGACAACAGAAATCCACCACTGTGTCTTTGCCATAGTCGCCGTCAGGGAGAACACCGCTGGCCTTATTATCGTTTTTCGTGTCTTCGTCATCCCACTTGATCGATCCCTCCTCAAAACCTATTATTCATTGGGAATTAAGAACACAGTCAAGCGGCGTACTACTTCAATAGAAGATGAAAAGAGAATTTTTCAGGCGGCAACATCAGCAAAAAAATTCTCTAGGTTTGGCGAAGCTCTGCGGAAACGCGCAGCACAGTCAGCACAATCAAAGTAAATGACATTGTTGCTCTGGCCCAGTTGTTCGATGACCGATTAGCGCTAACCCGTGGTTAGGTTTTAATCCCGATTTGTTTTTCTTTCGCTTAAGAGCATTTTCTCGTACAATCTTCTCTTTCTGTCAGAGCATCCAGTCATCAAATTGTACTGAGACAAAAAGGATTAAACTCAATCCGCTTTTTAAGCTTTAATATCCGAATTCAAATTTCACACTAACCCTGGGTTATTTTAACCCAGCTTTGAACCACTCAGCGCGACATGACATGTATCCAAAGTAATGTTTCAAATCTCTAGGCCAAAATAATTGAGATAATTTAAGAAGGCAAGAAATATATTAATCAAAACTATTGACAAGTCCCAGCTTCAAACTCTGACCTGGAGGACATTTGCCTTTCTTGAATATACAGTATTTTCCAGCCGGCCATTCGTCGGAGCCACTCTTCTTTTCTTTCACGCAGAAGTGTTGGGTGATCACATTGTTTTTCTTGAGTCCCTTCAAATGAGTTGGGCGTGACCAGTTACTGAGAGGAGTGGTGTCTTCTGTATTCTGCTTCAGAAATCCTTCTGACCACAGCGCTTTTTTCCCCTTTGGGCATCCACTCACTGGCATTGGTAGTGCGTACGTTCCCTTTGGCCATCTTACTGGATCAGCAAATTAAACAAACTTTAATTCTATTGTAAGCGAAAATAAGCCGATAATATAAAAAATGAACTAGTTAACAAGGCTTAGTTCGTCAAACATTCTCAAAGAACAACGCTTTAACTTGTCGACAACATGTCAACCGGATAGAAGACTACAAATTAGCAGATTTAATCTTGATCAATCCAGGAAATAATTTCTTCCTTATAATTGTAATTCTAAAACTCGAAGTGCCCCTTTCTTTCATTGTCGATTCACCTCTTTTGCAACGAAAATCCAGCCAGAATTCCCCCTTAAGTATGTTAGTAGAAGTGATTACGAAAGAGACGCTTATAACTGAACGGTACATTACACCAGGGCGATTTCGTGGTGATGTTGGTCTCCAGTATTCTAACATACAGATCTCGGCTGTTGAAATAATGAACCAAGAATCATATGTAATTTATTTAGTACGTACCGCTGCTATACAACTTTAACTTGATGAAACTTTCTGCCACGTCCAACTTGTTAAAATTCGCAACTGACAAGGAGCACATGTACTGGCCAACATCTTTGTCAGAAACGTTCGTTATGTGCAGGGAAAAATTACCAGTTCCTCCAGGCAGCCACCTTGTTCTGACCTTTTTGTTTCCACCTTGTTTAATTACCTGGCCTTTAAATTTCCAAACTGACATTGTATCCAAGGGATTAACATTGCGACCAAAACAAACCAATGTTACGCTGGATCCTTTCCTTGTAGCTATGCTGCGTTGGACTGGATTGACCACTGGGAACACAGAAGCAACACCTAGGAAGAGGGTTAGAAAAGAGTTACTAAAGTCAAATCCCGCTTATTATGGACACCTCATCAGTTATGGCTTTGTCCCTGTCGAAAGGTCGAAAGAAAGTCATTACATTTTCTTTAAATTCAACTCGCTTAATACAGATACCTTGTTAATACGGGCACTTTCTATTTTCTCCTCCGTATTATAATAATAATAATCAGTTTATTAAACCCTTTGGTAGTGTATAACACTAAATTACAAGGGAGGTCAAGAATACGCAGAACACATAATTACACATGGCACAGAAGGCAAAAACAATTAAATCCTATTGTAACTGTGGGTAACAAAATTACTAAGGCGGTCCGTTCTGACAAAGCGGAATTCAGAACGGGAAAAACCCAACCTCAACCCGTACCCATGAGCGACATTCGNCAGGGATTGGAGAATCCCCCCCTGATAAACTCCCGCGACAGCTCCTAGGATAGCTCGCCTTTAGCTACGCTTATGAGCCCCCCTTTTAATGCGCCCCCTCTAGCTCAGATATAAGCCCCCCAGGATATATTCCCCCTCTCGCCCCGATAATAACCCCCCCAGGATATTATCCCCCTCTGGCTCCGATTTAAGCCCCCTCTAGCTCCGATTAAAGGCTCCCCAGGATATAAGCCCCCTCTAGCTCCAATTATAAGTCCCCCAGGATATAATCCCCGTCTAGCTCTGATTATGAGTCCCTCAGGACATAATCCTCCTCTAGCTCCGATTACAAGCCCCCAGGATATAATCCCCCTTTAGCTCCTATTATAATCCCCCTCTAGCTCCGATTATAATCCCCCTCTAGTTCCTATTATAATCCCCTTCTAACCCTTACTATAATTCCTCTCTAGCTCCGATTATAAGCCCCCCATGATATAATCCCCATCTACAATCAAGGACAAAAGTCTTGGGACACTTTTGCGTTTCTGGGGCGTTTTCCAATTCACACAGGTCTAACTCCTCCCCCGACCCCACAAACAATGTTGGACGCGTATATCCAGAATTTTTTCCGAGTTTCAATTTTGTATAAGGAGGGGGAGGGAAAACAGGTCTAACTCCTCCCCCGACCCCACAAACAATGTTGGACGCGTATATCCAGAATTTTTTCCGAGTTTCAATATTGTATAAGGAGGGGGAGGGAGAACTGCAAGAAAATTTCGAAAAGGATGCACTGTTTTAAGAGGGAAGCGAGAAATGACAGAAAAATATGAATATTGCAGTACTGTCCTGAGGACTTTTGTCCAGGATTGTAGCTCCGATTAAAAGCTCCCTTGAGAATTAGATTCATTATGGCCTTTTTAAGCTTAATTAAAAACCAGGACAGTGCAAAAACGTTTTTTGACCAAAACAACATAGCTTGCTTCCAATTGTTTTTTCTACTCTGGTTAATTTATTTGCTTCTCCTTATAAGCCCTCTTAAACCTCTCACGAAGATGTACATTCACCTGACCTTTATATGTACGCTGTTTTAGTGTACTTTGACCCTTCCTTTTTGAGCAAAGACGTAGTAAAACATGTTATTTTCACCCGTTGGCCAATAAATTGGGGCAAATTATAACACGTTCAATAAATTTTGGCCTTAGTTTTACTTAACTGCTTCAAGAAAACAAGATATCATGAGACTTACCTGACATAAGGTAGTTACAACCTAAAAAGTTTAAAACAAAAACAACAAATTTAACACTCATGATTAAGGATTGCTTTCAGTTGTCCCAGAAAAGTAATTTAAAAAGTTCACATTCTTAACTTTTATCCTACAAAAATGTCGAAAGTAAAAATAATATTCATCACTATAAATACGCTTTTGGAGTAGGATTACTGCTTTTAAAGAGTCGAAAAGTTGGTAGTTTTTCAAAGCAAATAGTTTCTTGCCATTGTTACAATCTGATAGGTTCCCTGAAACAGAACTGCAGCCCGGAGCTCGATAGTGCTGCAGGACGTTTTTAATTCGGCTCGTAAGTTAAGTCTTCGCTGAGAGCCCGCGATCGTAATAATTTGGCTCGAGTTGAACAGTCCTTTGTCCGTCTTTAGGTCTACCGTTTGCTGCTTTACCATATACATCTTAGACGTTACAATTAGAGGTCAAAAAAGAAAAAAATAAGCACAAAAACTTTTTTTCAAAAAACTAGAATAAGAGTAGAATATACATTACCATAACTTGACATGATATTATTATAATAGTTCAAATAAATAGAAGATTCTGGTTCCTTAGCAATTCAGCCATTGACTGCTAGTGAGGAAAGTCGGCACTCTCGTTATTTTATTATATCTAAATTTTCCTTTAAAAAAATAATAAAAATAATATTCATCACTATAAATACGCTTTTGGAGTAGGATTACTCCTTTTAAAGAGTTGAAAAGTTGGTAGTTTTTCAAAGCAAATAGTTTCTTGCCATTGTTACAATCTGATACGTTCTGAAACAGAACTGCAGCCCGGAGCTCGATAGTGGTCCAGGACGTTTTTAATTTGGCTCGTAAGTTAAGTCGTCGCTGAGAGCCCGTGATCGTAATAATTTGGCTCGAGTTGAACAGTCCTTTGTCCGTCTTTAGGTCTAACGTGTGCTGCTTTACCATATACATATTAGACGTTACAATTAGAGGTCAAAAAAGAAAAGAATAAGCACAAAAAAGTTTTTTTCAAAAAACTAGAATAAGAGTGGAATATACATTACCATAACTTGACATGATATTATTATAACAGTTCAAATAAATTGAAGATTCTGGTTCCTTAGCAATTCAGCCATTGACTGCTAGTGAGGAAAGTTGGCACTCTCGTTATTTTATTATATCTAAATTTTCCTTTAGTCCCATGTTCGTATTTCGGTTCATTCTTGGTCTATTTCCAAGGAACTCAGTTGATTCAGTGGATCATGGAAGTTAACGATGACATGAGGTGCTTTCTACGTTTAAATTTTTAAAAAGAAGGCGGTTACTTATAAGTTCTAAAAGCCCTTAAATGTTTAAACTAACTGATTTGCGGTGCCTCGTGTGACATCTTTTGAAAAAGAGCTGCGCAAGGATAAGATCAGAAACACTGGCTGCAGAAACATAAAAAAGGCCAAAAAATTTGTTTGGTTACTACGCCGGCCAACATGGAGACCATTTTCAAAAATGTCTACAAAAAATCCGGTTGGAAAGAAAATGAAACATTACTTTTTTGGGTCGTTCCAGCGTAAAGTTTCAAGGAGCAACGGAACATCTGAAATGGTAGTCCCGTTTTTGCGGGCGGAATGTTCCAAACAGAAATTTGTGTTCCTTTTCTTCAAAGCCAACTTTAATACTAGAGTGGGGTCGAAAAAAAGTGGCCTCTTAGCATTAAAAAGTTCGACTGTCCTTCCAATTGCTTCAATGAGTTAATACACATGAATTCGGAGGTAAAAGACCTGCGGCCTCTCAGTTAAAATGAAAAGCAAGTATTTCATCCCTATTGGACGTATAAATAAAGGAAATAGATGCCTTTCATTGGATGTAGTTTCTCTTTTTGGGAAAACAGTTTGATCAAAAAATCACCATTAAAGACAAAAAGACGGTACTTTGGAGTACTATAGAGAGGTAAGAATCACGTTTACGCGAATTTGTACCACGTGACCAAGTTTCCTCTTTGCTTGTCGCCTACTGTTCATTGTTTCCACACATAAATTAGTAGCTCCTTGAGTTTCAGGCAATTTTTTATCCATAAAAATTTTCTGAGCTGTTTTTATCTACTCATTTTTCTATTTTGAGACATTCTCAACTTGAATTTGACGTTTGCCGTACACGTGAAGCTTTAAAAACTCTGCCATAGATCGTTACAGTTTAAAAAATAATAAACAAAGATATGAATGTATGAATGCCTTCAGACCAAATAAGGATGTTAACCTCGTGGTGTTAAAAAGAATGATATCAAAAAATTCAAAATCATTACCAAGAAAAAGATAACGTGATCATTTAAACCATAAGAGTAAAATCGACGCGTTTAAGAATGTATAGTACGAAGAATTTCGAAATTTCGATTTACTTTCGCCACCAAAGGACATCATGGTCACCACTCATGCAAAAGAAAAAAGTTCCGACTTTCGGACTGTTTAACGTGAATGACATGCATGCTAGAGGGTAAACAACTAAAGGGTCGAGATAAATTCCTCGTGGCTGATATTTTGGCAAAACTGTAGCTTCAGTATTCTTCCTGTTTTTTCACAAGGTTCGCATCTCCAAGGAAAACACGTGTGGTTCATGACTGTCTTTGTTTCGAACACAATCAGCGTTGAGGTTCTAGTCGACATAACAGGTCAAGAGTTGGCGCTTAATTGAATAGATTGATGACAAGATGGATAGGGTGCTCAAAAATTTCCTTCTTTAATCACGAAATTCATGGAAAAGGAAGACGGAAGTTTCCAAATGTTTAAGGATATAGAAAAAAAACTTTTGTAAAAACAGCTCTTTTGCAAACTTTTGATACTAGCTTTTGGAAAGGAGTAATGCTCAATTTTCAGTAATTAAAATTTACGAAGGCTATGAATGATCAGTCGAATGAACAATTGAGCGGTATCTCTCAGTGGCACATTTCAAAGCATTAAGTTTCACATTTTTATACATATAATTAAACTGATTTAGTTTGGGATATGAACATATGTACAGAATGCGAAGGAATGACTTAAATTAATGAAGACCATCGCTGTTGTATTTTCAGCTGATTAAAAAATCGTCTAAACTGGGTTAAGAGCTCGGGTAAAAGCTTAGTTTGCTGAACAGTTTTCCAACCCAACCGAATGTTCATGGATTGCTGAAATGAGCCGTTCAAACTCAATTTTTTTATAAGTTTGTTTTTAAGGCGTTCTTTTCAAAGCTTCTTTGTCTTCGAACAAACCCCCGTCAGAGACTTCTTATGATTCGAGTATTGTTCCATTTAAAAGTGTTCAGAGAGCACATTGTCAAAACGAACAAGAACAAAGCAATTTCAAATTTATGTGAACTCGTTTTCTATTTCAATCTATAACTAACTCAGTGTAAGTTAACCTTGCCACAAATCGTTTGAGTCAAGTTTAATCACGACAATTCACTTACATTTAGTTTTTTAGTTTACCTTTTTTGCTCCGATTTTGAGATTCATAAATGCTTCGTAGAACGATTTAAAATTTTCGTTTGAACCGGACAACAGAATGCTTCCCACAAGTAGTGCATTGAAAACTGGATAGTAGCTGAGGGGGCACAGTGTCGTCTCTATGTTGATAGTATCTTAAGTACAAGGTACATATTGTTGATATTATCTACACTCTAAGGTACAGAAAATCAATTCTATTACCCACGATTCTTAATGTAAATAGCCCTTTGAGAACACTGAGGTCTTTCAAATAAAAAAGCAGCATTTGAAAAAGAATTAAGCAACCAAAACAATGAAAAACAAAATGAGTTCATTTACTCAGTATGCTGGCCTTTTGCTGGCAAAAAACGTCAAATTCTTGCACTGAATTGAAACTGAAAACATGCAACGCGGACTAGAGACCATGTTTATGTAAGGCGATTAACTAAAATGTGGCTATATTGCAGCGAGTTCCATCCGACCAACCCAGATATTTTACTTCTGCCCAGCAACGGGGCATATATGATGAAGTTAAAGCATTCAAATTATAAACAGGTGGTGCCTCGAATTCTTGGAAAAGTCTTATGAGATCCGGGGGGAGGCCTTCACATAGCAAAAAATTCACAACCAATCACACTGATGTTAAACACTACGATTCAACAAAATTCAGTACATTTTCTTGCCTTCCCAATACTGTGTTATTTTTAACATTTTCCCATCTCCTGTTTAATACCACAATCTCATTCAAAATAATAACATCTTACAAAAAAGATTTTAGGGCCATTACACATTTGTATCTCAAGACACATTTATGAAGGCTCAGCTGAACAGTCTAGCCCTGCCCCTCCCCTCAACTCCTCTAGCCTGACTAAATTATTCAAACCTGATAAGATCGAAAGCGAAAGTTAAAAACCATGACATAACCAGATAGGACATCATTTTCACCTTATGCAGAGCACAACATTCATCTTCTGGGGGCATATTTCAGGCAAAATGACTGTTCTCTTAGCAAATTTGCTGCTTACAACGTTGCTATGGATGTCAGGTAAGAAGCCAGGGAGGAGCTAGGCGAAAATGAACTCTAGAAAGTGTGCGTGCTGTGTTTAATGCTCTAAATCAGCTAAACAGAGATTACCAGGGTTAAACCCCTTCCGCCGCGTTACTAGATTTAGCAGTCGAGGGGAAAATGAGGTTTTTGGGATCAAGGCTGAGGAAAAATAAAATCAAAATGTATTTCCTCATGAAGTTTACTCTAAGCCACTAAAAAGATATGAAATCACATACTGGAAAATGAACCACTTGTCGCCAATTCTCAATCACCCCGTTCTCGAGAAAGAAGATAGGGAAGCCGTTGCTGTCTATCTAATTATGACGTTTATTTACAAGTGTATAAACACGGTGGACTAAGTGATCAGGTCCGAATATGCAAGCTGGATTGCTGTGTTTGTTCTTCCAAGTATAAGGATGGCTTTTAAATTGAACGCTGAAAATGGGTATCAGAATCCTTCAGCCTTGGACTCAACCTGCTGTGACCTGAAATCTTTGCAAATGCTGACAAATATAAGAGAACCTAGGGTATGTATTGTGATCGACATTTGAATACGGACAAGAGACACGAAAGACGGAACT